TTACTCTCCTGAATTTATAAGAGATTCAACAAAATGAGTCATCAGGTGGAAGGAGATTATTCCTTAAGGCTAGGGACAGACATTACACATAAACCAGTTTAAGTGACCAGAAACTGGTTTAATTAAACCTGTAACAGAACAGATGTTCAGTGCACATAAACCAGTTTGAGAATGGCTGAAACCAGTTTGAGATGAACCTGGTTGAATGGAGTATCAGACTTAACTGATTTGGCTCAAATCAGTTTCTGCAATGTCTGTCCCAGACCCCTTGCTGGTTTAAAGATAAACCAGACACCCTCAGCATCCCAGCATGCTCTCTGGGCTGTGTGGGGCTCTCTGCTCCACAGCAGGGCTGGTCCCTCCTCTCTGCTCTGAAGCTGCAGCTTCAGAGACTGTCTGCTTTCCCTCATCACTCCCTGCTAAGCAGGAATTCCCCTCTCCCCTCTGCCTTGCAGAGAGGTGTCTGTGCATTAGCCACCGCCAGCATTTGATCTGCTAGCTACTAGGGCTGTGCAAAGTTTCGGTAGTTGATTTGATTTGGAGGAGATTTGGCCGCCAAATCTCCAAAAATCAAAAATCAGGAGACCCATTAAGAAGTCCAAATTGAATTGGAAGCCTCCAAATTGATCTGGAGAATCTCCAAATCGGCCATAAACTATACCGGTTTCCTTTGCATAAAGTAAACCCACTTTGTTGCATTATAAATAGGGACAAGGCTCTGCTTGCTGCCACTCCCCCCAGCCCCTGCTGCAGCAGCCCCAGGAGCAATTGAAACTACCGGGGGTGAGGGGGGGAAAACGAAGGGGAGCAGGGCGTACTTCTTGCTGCTCTTTGCTCCCCGGGAGGGCTGCGGGCTGGGGAGCTGTGTTGGGCTCTTCCCAGGAATGCGGGCCCCCAGATCTGCACGTTGGATGACAGCAGGCTGCCACTGCAGGCTGGGGCCGACAGCAGCACCAGGCTGATTCTTCCCGGCACTCAGGGTGGGCAGCAAGCAAAGCCCCAGGTGGCGCAGGGCACAGCACAATTGTCCACTCACCCTAGCCCCCACTGCAGTGCCCCCAGAGCAACCAGCACCAGGTGCAAAAGGGAACTGTTGGGGTGGGGGAAAAGGCATGCCTCTTGCTGCTCCGCACCCCCTGGGAGGGCTGCGGGTAGCTCTTCCCGCATCTGCACGCAGGACGACAGCAAGCTGACATTGCAGGCTGGGGCTGGTGGCAGCACTGAGTGTTTCCAGCACTCACAGTGGGTGTGCCGAGCACCAGGAAGAGTCAGCCTGGCAGCCTGCTGTCATACCATGCGCAGATTCCAGGGCACATGCTCCCCCGGGAAAAGCCCCACAGCCATCCTGGGGGGCTCAGAGCAGCAAGAGACACACCTTTCCCCCTCCCGCTGACAGTTCCCGTTGCAGCTGGCGTCGGTTGCTCCCAGGGCCACTGCAGCGGGGGCTAGGGTGAGTGCAGACAATCTGCGCCATGTCCTGTGCTGCCTGGGGCTCCACTTGCTGCCACTCCCCCTGCTGCAGCTGCATTGGGAGCAGCTGACACCAGCTGCCTGCACCATGGCATAACACAGTCCAGGAGTTGGGGTAAGTGGGAACAGGCAGAACACAGTGCAGCCCCAGGAACAGCACCGCCCCCCCTTACCACCTGGGAATGTCTCCCAATCCGTTAGGGCTACCCAAAGCTTCAGTACCTGATTTTGGCAGCCGAATCTCTGAAGAGAAAAAAAAAAAAAAAAATCGGCCAAATAGAATTGGGACAATGATTTGAATCACTGTTCCTCGAATCGGCCAAATCCCAATTGAATACTTGCTGCTTCACACAGGCCTACTAGCTACTTTGTGCGCTGAATCAACAAGTAGCTGGTAATGTCCCTCTGTTGTTTTCTTAAATGGGTGATAAACACAGATATCAATTCCCTGCTGGAGCCTGGCCACGCCCCTTCAGCTCCATGCTGTCAAAGAAAGGGAGGGCCGCTCTAGCACCCCCCCCCCCCGTTTCTAGCCTGAACCACTGGAGGCATGTGGCTGCATTTCTGAGATGTCTGTCTGGTTACAAAACTAATTTAGGATAACCAGGTTAGACTAACCTGCAAAGAGTTAGTCTAACCAATTCAGGCTCAGGTTTCTGAATGTCTGTCCCTAGCCTAAAAACCCAAATTAAAGTTTCATGGCAGGACTGTGTAAACCTACTGCAAGCAAGTCCGCAGGTGCAATGCATAGGAGATGAAAATAAGCACCACTTTCATTAAAGTCCAAAGAACCTTGGAAAAGGAAAGCAGGTGTAAACTACAGAATGGCTGGGATACAGAGGACTGTGTAGCACTATATTTCATCCTTCATAAAAGAGCGAACACTAGTTGCTTACTACACAGTCTGGACAAAGTGCCTTTTGGTCTGAGGAAGAAACAAGACCTAACTCTCTCCCAATAAACCTAGGTCGCTGACAGATGTGGAAAAGAGAAACACACTTTACTGGAAGAGGCAAAGTATTAGTTCAGACCAGCTCCACAGCATCTGTATAGCTCGTGCGCTTCAGCACAGCTTTTTGGCACTTTTATCTAGTAGCCACTTCAATCAGCTATTAGATAAAAGCACCCCAAAAAAAGCCTCATTGAAGCACCTAATATATACGAACCAGGTCCAACACATGCAGTGCCTCTTGGGCATGCGCTGGGTTTGGCACAGGGGCACGCCAAGTTTAAAGTAAAGTGGGGCAGGGGGAGGATGTTTTTTGTTTTTAACATCTGTAAGCCACCCTTGTTCCTTTAAAAACATGGTCTGAAAACCAGGGTAAGAAAAGCTTAGATGCACTGAACTGACGAAGGTAGGGTCCCTGAAGAGACAGCAAACATTAAAACTTCATCCATTTAAAAACCATGTCCACAAACTACAACCTTCTTGATAACTATTACGCATGCTCTTTCAGCTGCCTCACTTGAGATAACAATCAGAACAATCAGAACAACTGGGAGATTACACAGGAGCACACAGGAAAGGACACTAAAGAACTAAAAGCATTTCTAGTCTACAGTACCTGCTGGAGAATCTCACATTCTGGGTTTTTCCATTTAAATTGCAACAGGATCCCAAGTTGGCCTGCTGCAATTGTACGTTGTCCCAATAACCAAAAAACCCGAGTTTCCATCAGGGCGACACATTCTATTCAATGCACTGCAGGGGGCAGGAGGAAGCTTCCTTACACTTGGACTGATATAAGCACTTTTTTTTTGGTCAAGAAGAGGTTTCAAACCAATTTTACTAGATGTCATCATGGTACAGCAAGATCTAAATCTGAGCCTGATTATACTAACTGGACAATAAAATTAGTCAACCAGATTTTAAGGGAATACCAGCCTTCACAAACAAGCAAGTTTCTATAAAGAGCGTCTTATTAATGATAAATCCTAATTCAAAGACCCCTTTCATTCTGACTAAAACCTTTAATACCCAAATTTCTGAGCAAGTCAGTTGCCTAGGTAGGTGGTCCAACAGACCTCAATATGGATCAATCATAATTTCCATTAAAATGTCCTTGATGCTGCAACCAAATCAGAAATGACTCCTGTACAGCAAGCAAACACCTCTCGACACAGGCAATAGACCCTTAGGTGAAAACTGCCTTTAATGCACACAGACATACATCCCTGGCCCATTTTCCTTAATTAAGGTAGTATCAGTATAGATTTGCATACAGGAATACACTAGGGTCTTCCTTGCCTAGGGTGGTATAAGTCAGTTAGGGCATAAATCCCTAATAGCTTCTTTTGTATAGTTAGAGGTTTCTACAAAGTACAAGTTTGATTTTTCTATAAATTGTAACTTTTAAGCTAGAGGGCAAAAAAACAACAGTTTAGAATCCAAGGGACACTTTTTAACCTAAAAAGGACTATGACACTTTTGTTGAAACTCTTTAGAAATTCAAGCTTTACTCAAATGGTTATGCAGTTTTGAAACTGATGCACTCCCCTCCCTCTACCCCCCACCTCCCAATTTAAGTACAAAATGGAATACAGCCTTAATATGGTAGTACACTGGCCCTGTCAAAGAGGCAACACTGCTAATATCATATTCCTGCTCCATGGCCTTTAACAACCACCTGATCACAGAAAGCAAAACGCAAGCTTTATAGATACTATTTAGGCAATTACAGTGCATGTCAAAGTGGTGTTTCAAGCGTGAAATCCAAGTATGCTGGATTCTTCAGGAATGTGTCAGTACTGCCTTAACTATGTAAGTTTCTACTAGTTGAGTAGAAAGGAATTATGTTCATGCAACCTCAAGTCTGAGTTTACTTGTGTGGAAGAGGTACCCTCTTTGTTTTGAGTTTCTCACCCAAAAGAACAAAGTTTTCTTTTGCTTAAGCAGATGAACTTCCTTTATGCACTGGGACCTGGTCACACACTCCTACGGCCAACATAAAGAAACCATTAAAAATCAACAGGAACAAGAGAATACACACCTGAAAAAAACAATAAAGGAAAATAATCTTTGCCTCTAGGTTCCTATACCATGCCCCTCACCACTCAAATGCTTGATTTACAGCAACCATCCGCAACCTGGGAGGGGTTTACATTTTCCATTTCCTTCACTTAAGGATCTGTTCAGTAATTTTAAAGCCAGGATGCAGCACGAGAAAAACCCAAAGGAGCACCTTAGAGTAAAGGCACCAGAGGCTCTAATATCCACTCAAAATAATCAGATTAACCAGACTGTGCAGAAGTGCAAAGAGTTTTATCTTCCAAACTGAGGGAACTGAATCATCCCATGGATCAAGGCAGGCAAAGCAATAATTCAGACATAGTTTCTCATTCAAGTGTCGGTAAACAATTGAGCCTCGTAAATTATGCTTGGGTCGCCTTCAGAAGAAAGGGAAGGCTAGTATATGCATTGCTTTTTTTTTTTTTTTTAATAAAAATCAACATTAAGTAGCGAGTATAAACCAGCCTGTGCTTCTTCCAATGAGGCCTCCATAGACGGAGGGTCTGGTCACTCAACCAAAAGTTGTTCGTTGATTTTTTACTGAGGAGGCTTCACTTTAACAGGTCTACCCCAGCAGGATGGCAGCAATTAGCCAATCTCCACAACCTGCATTTCTGGTCATCCCAGGTTCTACTTCTGCAGAAAGCTGTTGTCCCAAAGGAAAGAAGCGAGCCTTTTTTACTGAAAAAGCCAAACATCCCTAAACAAGACAAGACAAGACAGCCCATGCTGAAAAAGGTTAAATTAAATCTTTTGAGCATGTCTGCATCAAGAAAGGCAGGAAGCAGACTGGGTCTGTTCAAGACAGAAGGATAGAGACAATAGCAAGAGGGCACTAAAACTTGCTGTTCATCTTTAATGCCTCCTACCAAGTGTGTATTAGTGAAATGGGTCCACAGAAATCACAAGACAAATATCTGTATTGCTGGTAAAGGGTTTGTAGAAGAGAACTGTAGATTTTAGAAATTATTCAAATACTGAATAAAAGTTATTAGTTGCATTAACTCAAATTTAATTTTTCCCCTTTTTTGCAAAAATATAAAAGGGCTATCTATATCTCTATGCCACTTATACAATTCCATCTTTGTATAGGGGCAAAAAGCCCTCAATGTATGTAAAAAGACTTAAGACTTATCCTCAGGGTAGCCTACTTTTGTTTTTTGGATAGACTGGAGAAACCCTGGTTGAAAATAAGGGGCAACCCAGTTTACTTCCTTCTCTGGAAAGTGTTAAGTACTTATAGCAAACTGTGATCCACCACGAAATTTTAGGTTTGACACTTATCATACCCATTCTTCCAAAAGAATCTCCGAAGCCACGGTTCAGGGCCATATCACTGCTACCAAAATCTCTTTCCATTCTTCCTCCCATTCCACCACGGAACATTTCTAAAGAGAACATAAGCAAAGTTGCAAAAGAGCAATCGCACTATATGCACATCTTGTGTTGAGTACAAAATACTTTTTCTGCCACTGCTCATTAAGAAAACTGAGTTTAAAGCACTAATTAATTAAACTTGCCTCCCATGCCAGTTGCCATGCCTCCCATACCAGTTCCTATTCCTCCGCTCATTCCACTGCCCATATTTCCTCTGAAGTCATCAACATTACCCATTCCTATGTAAAGAAATGGGTTTTAGTAAAAAAAGGTAGTAATTAAAAGGGTAGTAACTGAGATAAAAAGTGCTCACCTACCTCCCATTCTGCTGACACCAAATCCACCCATGTTAGTCATGCCTTCCATTCCAAATCCAATAACCCCTATATAATAAGGAAAAGTGTTTTCTATACAATATTTTAGTAGTCAACAGAAAAACAAACCACCACCACACGTACCTCCTCCCATTCTGTTCATTCCTCCAAATCCTGGGCCATCCATTCCCATACCTAAAATCAGAAGTTGTAATTTAGGACACTGGGAAAAAACAACCATTCTTCATATCGCTACATTTAAGCAAATCAAATCAAATGCATACTAGTCATGGTTTACTTGGTAAAAGCAGGTAACTCTTCAAATTTAAGAACTTTGAAAACATTTTGGATACAAGAGAGAAAAGAACGCATTTACCTCCTGGTCCCATATTCCCCATTCCTCCACCCATGCTCAGCTGGGTTGCACTGATGGGCTGTCCACCTGGTCCGAGTCCCATTCCAATGCCTCCAAGGCCACCTTTGGAAACCAGAAGAGAAGTATCACCACCAGGAGTCAAGTTTTTCCTTGCCACAAAGGAAAAAACCTACACATACCACATAGCTGCATGCACTATAATATCAGGCAACTCCAAGTGACAGACCAAAATACTAAGTACAAAAAAGAAAAAAATTGCAGCTCATACTCACGGGGCAATTGTGGTGTTTTGTTGTCTCCTACACGGAAGTCTTCATGTGGAATAGATTTGTCATCCTGATGATAAACAAGAATATTATAGTGTACTGTACTTGTTTTAGCTTAGCTGGAAATAAAAGCAGGAGGAATGAATAGCCAAACTCACCATTTTTACATGCATGGGCCTATCAAACAGGAACTGTCCATTGAACATAGCTAAAGATCAAGTCAAAGAACCTAGGTCTGGTTACTGAAGACAAAGTTAATTTGTTTTTAAAAAAATTGTCTGTCATTCTACATAGAAGAGACTACTGAGAATGGTGAGAAAAAACGGATGGGATAAATTGTGAAAACTAGGGGCGCACCGAAAGATTTTTTGGGCCAGTACCAACGGCCGATTTTTAATGAGCCATATTGGCCAATACCAATCCGACTGCCGATATGTGGCCTGGCAGCTTGGAAAACAACGTCCAGCTGATAAGTCTGTTCTGGGAGAACCGGGGGGAGGGGAGGGAAGGAGAAGGGAGGGGAGGGGGCTGCAGATCAAGACCCCTGCAGCGAAGGGGGGAGTGGGACTGGCCCTGCAGTCAGGGCAGGGTGGGGTTCAGGACAGAGCCATGGCTTGTCTGGGGGGCATAGGGGCAGTTCCTACCACTGCATGCACTGAGCGAAGGCATGGGAGGTGTGTGCCCCCCCCCGGATCTGCACACACAGCAAGGGCGGGCTGCTGCTGTGGGCAGGGCTGCGCTCTTCCTAGCAGGGGAGAGGCTCAGGCTGTGCTTCGAGCCAGCGGTGCCTGCCCCAGGGCCAGCCCCACTCCCTCCCTCGATGGCCTCGGTCTGCCATATCTGCCACCCCTCCCCTTACCAGCCAGATGCCACTCTCCATGCTGCTGGGCTGCACTCCTGGCCACCTCCGTGCTGCGCTGCAGTTGTGCACAGCATTTAAAATCAGCAACATTATCAGCCACATCAGCCAAAAAAAGCCGATTGCTGATAATGGTAATTTTCCTGTCATCAATGCCAATACAATGTATCAGTGTACCTCTAGTGAAAAACGTAAAATTAAAATCTATCTTTACTAGTTATTTGAAGCCATGGCAGAACAAAACACTTTAATTGGTAAATTAGGAGCATAAGATTCATATTTAAGAGCTAGCAATGATTTAAAAAAAAAAAAAAAAAAAAAAACTGTGTTTATTAAAACTTTTAAAAAAAAAAAAAAAAAAACAACTGTGTTTATTCTAACTGTATTAGAATTTAACAGTGAATTCCAGCTGAAAAATCTGCTTATATTGGGTGGGACTAGACTTTCACATTTATATAAAGCAAGCTACAGTGAAAATGGACAGCACTGCTTTAACTGCTATACAGTCATATGTCATTCAAAAGTATTTGAATCCATGCTTAAACAAATTGTTGTTTTAACCATTTTCAAAATAAAGGATACATATTGCTTGAACTGCTTCAATTGCTTGTTCAAAAGTCACTGTTCCCATTCCTCGACTCTTGCCATCTTTGTCTTCTTTGATGTCTGCACGTTTTACGGTTCCAGCAATACTGAATACCTCTTTTAATTTTTTCCAACCAACTTTAAAGTCAAGCTTAATACAAAAAAAGCACATGAGCAATTCCAAGATGTTTATTTCTCCCAACTACATTTAAATGTGGCTTTTTAGAGTCTAGTAAGTTTCTCAGATAGCCAAAAAAATCCACAGGAAAGCATAGCATTTATACAACATAGCAAAATCTAACAGATCAAAAGGCTGAGTCTCTTAAAATGGACTATTTTTGTTACTTTCCTTTCTTTCAATTCTTAAGCACACTAATTGGGAGAGGAAAATAACTGTGAAGTAACTATACCCCTTCTGCGTGCCAATTTAGGCCTAAAGGGGAACAGATAATCATCTGCAATTTCTTAAAATGGACATATATGCAAAGCTAATAGAGTGTCATTCATATGCATGGTCTTTCTTTGTTTTTTTGCAGAATCTAGAGAGATCTGTGACAATACTGAAGACAAGGATCTTATAATATATTCAGATATTGAATGTTTAAAATACATGCTTAAACTTACATTAGCAACAAAAATAGTGGACCCAAGTCTGCCAGCCTGCAAATTACTGATAACCTCAGGAGGAATGTTTGGATTATTGAGAATAGAAGGTGGTAAATTCATCAATCCAGGTGCCATATCGGGTCCATGTCCTCCTGGGAATGGTCCTCCTACACGCTGCAATGCCCTGCGAGCATGTTCACCATCAGGATCCTGCAATACATTTAAAATTTTAAAAATTTAAAACATATTTTTGGCAGCAGAACAGGTATTATTCTGAAATTCTGCACAAGACCATCAAAATTGACTGACATCCCTGTCAGTGTCAGAGGGATTAAACGGTGAATTAGCATGGAGACTCAGTTCCCTCACCTCTAAAGGTGGGTCCTTTCAGATGAGGGTTGAGGAATATTGGCAGAGCACTTGGAGGTAGCATGCACTGCCACTTCACATGCTGTACCTAGCCTATGGACAAGTAAAAAAAAATTCAATCTAAAGGTCTATCAGTCTAGTATCTGTTCCCAAGTACTGAATTATTTTAATTAAATGTTGACTGAATACAGTTGTTAAAAATGTAACAGGCTGCATCAAAAGAGTTATGATAGAAGCTCATAGCATAGCCCATAGGCTACAAAGAAAACAGACACTAATTTGAGTTCCCAGTTTGCACGAGCATTCTATTTCCACACTTCTCCCCCTACGACAATCAGGTCAGCTGACAAAAATTAAGTACCAATATATTAGCCACAGACAAGAGAAGGTGATGAAAAACCCAAGTCATTTACCATTTAAAACTGGTATTTGTTCTTTTTTCCAAGTTAGTTTTCAAAGCACAATAGCACAGTGCCAGGTAAACTATATCTGCCTGCAAGCCAAGAAGCCCCTTAGCTGGCCCCATTTAACAGGCCTTTCCACTATCACATTTTGTTTTCAGCACCCAATATTAAAGCTACTTTTAAAAGTTCAAAGACAGTTATCTGCTCAAACTAAACAAGACAGGCAGATTCATACCTCTTTGATATTCAGGGGTCTTCCACTAAGGTCATATTTGTTCATTGTTTCTAAAGCTTTCTTCACAAATTCTTCATCTTTGAATTCAACCACACTTAAAGATGAAACAAAATATGTACAGTATTAAAATAAAGTTGGTTTTAAAAAGCTAGCAGAATATTTAACAAGAAGGGGTCTTCCCCATGCAAAGAGGAACTTACCCACAACCCTACATTCATGATGATTTGCCATAATATGTAAGGAGAAAAAAAAAAATGAGACAGTCAATCAACAAATGTAACTGTATATAGAATATTTTAAAGATCCCCGCTCACTGCTAAAGTAACTATTTGTCAAGTTATTTTCAGTACTGGAAGTTAAGACATTTTTTATTGGTAGCCAAACTTAATTTCCTTCTACTTTTTGGACACACATAGTTCAGTGAGTATCTATCATTAAACTGCAAAAGAAGTTCTAATTTATTCTCTTTGAGCCAAACCAGAATAGGACTACAGAAAAATGCCACACAGATTCATATAAAGAAAACCAAGGGGGAGGGGGGGGAATTGATCAATATATTAAGTATGCCATTAGATGCTGACCTTTTGAGTACAAAATTCCATCCCACGCACATATAGTGGATAAGTACCATCCTTAAGGAGTTTGTGTACCTTTTCAATATTACTAGTATAGGAAACATGTTTAAGAATTACTTCTTAAGAAAACAAACATATTGATCACACCATAACCCAATTAGTAAAGCAACCAGTTTAGGATTGCTTTAAACAAGGAATTATACAGGCAAAACTGAAACATTAAATTTTATAAAATGTTAAGGAAAATCAAACTGATTCACAACAATTGTTACTGCTTAAGTCAAACTCCAACCTGCATTTCACATGTTCACATAGCAGGTTCATAGGTACTATTGTTCAAACTTTTGACTCTTAAAAAATAAAGTAAATGAAAGACAAAAGGATCTTTAACAATCTTCATACTAAGTGCCTCTTTGCAGGCACTCGGTGGGCTACCAATCACCTCCTTCCATTCAGTTTAAGAAGGAAAATGCATTAATCCAAAGTGCTCACTAGCCCTGCAAGCTGTCAATTCAGGCACTTCAAACAATATATTCTTAACTACGAGAATTTTATACTTATTAGCCTCAAATAGGAATACTACGCTGACAAAATTGGTCAATTCAGTGATTTTTTTTCTTTTTAGTCCATTACATAAAACAGATTTGAAACACAACAGAAATTCCTAAATTAAGATGTTGGCCAAAAAGTATTACCTTGGGAAAAAAAAATAAGTAAATGCCATTTGTTAACATTTATAGTTTGTCCCTGACAACCAGCTAGTTTGAGTTACATGAAAGTGTCAGACTAGTTCTAATGCAGAACCCTCAAGTCTATCATAATAAAAAAAAAACAATCATTGTAAAAATGAAACTTACTTCCCAATAACTGGTACAGGTATTATACAAAAATAAAACTGCTGAGGAACTTTTAAACCTCTAGCAGATTGTTGCCCACGGCACTTACCCTTGATTTTCCTTCAGCATCCTTAAACAGCTCCACGTATGTAACCTCACCAACTACATAAGACATACAAAGGGAAAATACCAAGAGACAATGCATTTAAAACACCAATATCTTGCTTTACTGTGCCCCTGTGCACAACTCTACAGAGAAGCACCTATTATTCACCAACAATCAAAACCAGACCAACATACCTCCTGTCAATGGCTATGTAATTTAGCTAGATTTCAGAAATATGCAGCAGCCACATTCTCAAGAACTATACAAACAACTATATTTAACCTAATTCATGCTACAGATCATATTTTGGCCAGTATGATATAGTTGGTGAACAAATTCAAATATACACATAGTCCCTTAACCTATCAAATTAAAACGTCAACATTAACACTTTTCAATGACATTTGTCATCCTACTCACAACAGCTGTTTTAAGGTGACTTTCTACCTGAATGTCTTCAATCATAAGTTTGCCTTCAATATAAAAACCAAATTTACAAGTCAAATATTTCACAGCAAGCCACACACTTTCTAAAATAAGAAGTTTCGGTAAATAAACCAATCAAATAGTCACGTCACCTTACAACAGATACACCAAACAGTTACAAAGATTATGTTGGTGTTGTTTAAGAGCCTCAAAGCCAAGTATGCTTTGCATTACTTTTGAAGAGTCAATTATTTTCACCAAGAAATAAATAAATAAATAAATAAACAAAGAAACAAACAGGACTAACTTTTTGCAGAATTCATATTAGAATTATTTCCCCCCAAACTGCCCAAAGTAAAAGAGTTTGGGGTGTTTCAGATAAGCCCAGAACTGCAACAGCAGTAACACACTTTTAAATAAAGATCTCCAGACAAACAGTCATGGCAGTAATGACAATGCAGACAAAAGATAATTCTACAGCCAGATTCCACCAATAAAATACAAAACATCTTTTGAAAAATATCCTTTATTATTCATACATTACACACGCTCAATGTGTTGCGTAGATAAAATAGCCCTTAAAAAATCTAAGACTACAACTAGACAAAAACACAATCTCTTTATAATGTCATGAGAGCATGCAGGTACTGTAGGCTCTCTCGTGTCACACTAGAATGGCAGAAGATTGTAAACACTTCATTTACCCATACTACCCTGCAATGCAGTTGTCTCAAATGAAAGGATTGGCGGGGGTGGGAGCAAGATAGATGTATCAAGTAAAAAGTCAAATCAAATCTGTGTGGCTCAAAGGAAAAAAAAAAAGTTAGGTTCCTCCCCTTTGTATACAAAGTAGGTTATCAGGAGTGAGTTACCTTTCTCTCTCATGAGATCTTTAATGGCTTGCCATTTCATGTCATATGGGATGTTGCTAATGAAAACTCTATTACGGTTAATAGTCTTCTTTTCTCCGGTGCCCGAATTCTTATCCTTTGAATAGGGGTGGAATCTATTCTTGTTTCCAAGAGATGGAATTGCCTTTGGTTTTGGAACATACTTTTCCTTCACAGGAGCCTTCTCTTCCTTTGTTGTCTCATCATTATCCCTATGTTGTCAAGAACAGATAAATGTTAGATTTGCTTTGAAATAACAACAACAACAACACCAGGTTCCACATTTTCACATGCTGTCAGAACTTCTTAGCTGATAAAATGAAAATCCTTCATAGTCAGCTCAGTTTCATCTCATAAATACAGCATTTAATTTGGCACCACAAGTCATTCCACTGTCCTTACTGTGAGTCTATCTTGCTACTTAAGTTGAACTGCTTTTCTAATATGCCTGACAAGCTCCAAGAAAAGTATTATCATAATCTACTAATATGTGAATAGTATCTCTGAGATATAAAAGTGACTAGGCTTGAGAATTTTGAACTTGAAAGTCGTTGCCAAACTCACGTATACAATATTGAGGAATTAGAACAGGATGGATTGAGCAAAAATCAAAGTGATTTTAAATCACCATTTTTAAAGTTCGGTTTAAAACTAACAAACAGGAAATCTCAATTTAAAAGTGAAAAATAAATTCATTTAACTTTTAAGGTTTTGGTTTGTTTGCGGGTTGGGGGGCGG